ATAATATAATGATTATGAGTTATATGTGATGTTTTATCTTATTGAGCTAAAAAGCCTATTTTATTTTTTTGTGGCTAAAATAGCCCCAAACCCACCCAACCCATTCTTCCCAAACGAAGCCTAAGGCTTAGAATTAAGTTTGGCATTATTATATTGTGTCCCTCAAGGTTTTAATTCATATAAAACTTGGCTCCCTTTGTATCAAAAGTTCACTAGTCGTATAAATAAAAAAATAATATTATCATCTCTTTTACATTAAAATGTATATTTTATCTGGTTTATCTTTGTATTTTCATACAATTTGCATTAGTTTTGATTTTTTAAACTTTACTAAAAGGAGATCAGTATAATTATGTTAAAATTGTGAGATTTATTGTATTCTCTTTAAATTTTAAGAGAGGATAATGTAATTTACCCCAAGTAATTCTTGGACAAAAACAAAACAAAAAAAATTACCAGAGGTTTTTTGGTTATTTTAAAACACTTTTCATGAATTTCAGAAATTCTTTAAGCTTTTTGCCTTCTTTCAAAATATTTTCTATTTCAATCCCAATATTAACTAGTCTCTCGGAGGCACTGGTTAGAATTTGTTATTAATAAAAGCTTATAATTTGATTGAATTAGAAGTAGGCTAATGTTAAGGATATTAAATTTTTGATCTTAACAAATGACCAAATCTGGGTATGGTATGGGGTCCGCAATTTTGTAGACCCTCACACCTATATAAAACATTTGATTATTTATTTAATAAAAAATTTAAGCCATATAACATTTTTCATAAAATCAGACGTAACATTGTCCTATGGGCAATCATTAAGGGGAAAGTAATGTCATTTATGAAAAAAATAAAAAATAAAAAATAATTAAGAGGAAATACATATTATAGAATTATATATATATATATATATATGGAGACTAACGATGAACCATTAATGATTCGTTTAAGATGTGGGTTGACTTTTAGTTATTTTAGTCTGAGACTAAAAAGTCTTGTTTGTGGTAAATTTTTTGACTTTTTTGAGAGAAAAAAATGAAATGATTATAATTTAGATGTGATGTTTTGTCATATTAGATTAAAAAGCTTATTTTATTTTTTTATAATTAAAATAACCAAAAAATAAAAAAATTTGACATGCCAAACAAATGCTAAATGGGCATTAATGCTTGTTTTGAGTCAAATTGTAATTTCATCACTCACTCATACAAAAATATTATTAAAATTAAAAATTTTATAATTTTGTTTCTTATGAATGTGTTATGTAATAATTGTTTTTTTTAATATTGAAAGATGACTATATGAGTGATGTCACATCAATAATAAGAAAATATTATAAGATTTAAAAAAAAACTTTTCTCTAGGGTGGTTGGATTGACGAGAAACGTTGGTGTGTGTCACCTCGTTAATTTTTTTTACTTTTTATTTTTTATTTTGTTGTAAATCAATAATTTAGTTTTTTCTATCCATTAACTCAATGAATATTGGGGTCACACTTTTTATCTAATCTAAAACTGAGTTTGTAAAGTAAAATGCCGATGTGATAACTAGAGAGAAACTCAATTCTAAGAGTCATTAGATTATATAAGATTACTTCATTCACCCAATAAAAGTGAAATAACTAACAGTCTAATTGGCTGAAAATTCCATAAACAGAAAGATGGTACAATTTTGTATACATCCGAATGTTCATTCCTAGATAGCTCCAAAAACAAAAACAACAAAAAAAAAAAAAAAAAAAAAAAAAAAAAAAAAAAAAAGAAAAGAAAAGAAGAGAAGGAGAAGAAAAGAAAGAATATTCATTGCTAGCAATTATTGGTGTGTAGATACCAAATGGTGGAAAAGCTTCCAATTTTTTGTGCTAGAATGATACAGAATGTACATCATATACTACAAAAGAAGGGACACAAAACAGAAAGTACATGTGATCCTTTACTCACAAGAAAGAGAGAGAAGAAAAAGATGCAATCATGTGGCCACAGGGCAATCCAAGGGAGTGTAAATTATTATTATTTTTTATATTTTAGATTTTAAGAAACAAAATTACTTCGTAGCTCGAAATTTTGGAGGGTCGAGTGGCTCGAATGTCAAAACGATGTCATTTTGGCTAATTTTTCCCTCATCTCTTTTCTCTTCAAAACAGAGAGGCGAGAGAAAAAAGAGAGGGGAACAGAGAGAAGTGGTAGGAAGAGAGAAGAAAAGAAGATATATATATATATATATATAGATCTATGTATGTATACACACAGAGGAGGGTCGTGATGGGCGACGGTGATGGCGGCGCCAGTGGGTGGAGGGATTTGCGACGGTAATGGCGATGGGCGATGGTGAGGGCAACGCCGATGGGTGGAGGGTTTGCGATAGTGATGGCTCTCTCTCTCTCTGTGTTCCCCCCTCTTCTCTCTCTCTCTCTCTTTCTGTTCTCCCTCCTTTTTCTCTCTCTATGTTCCCCCTCCCTCTTCTCTCTTTCTTCTCTCTTTTCTCCTTCTCTTTTATTCCTCCTCTCATTTTCTCCTTCTTGTTTCTGTTTCGGAGAGAAAACAAATAAAAAAGTCGGGAAGGAAGAAAGAGAGAAAGAAAGAAAAGAGTGCCAAAACAACAGCCATTCGAACCACAAGTTATTCAAGCTGCCTAGTGGGATTGTTTAAGAAAATGTGTCAAACTGCTATATGTAATTTCTATTTATAGGTTATGGAATAAAAATAGTTTAAATAAATTAATTATTTAAAAATTAATTAAAAAAAGTGTTTTTAAATTATGCTTTTTGATTATCCACTTTTGACTTATGAAAAAAATGCACAATCAATCTCAATGCAAGTATGAAGTCAATGTGGGAGGGGGGCAACGGCCTCTTTTAGTTTTTTTAAAATTCTTTTATTATTTCTTTAATTGATAAATATTTTTATTATAATAAGACTTTGAGTTTTGAATATTTTTTTATTGTCCCTTTATTTCATGGCTATTTCAACCATGTTAATGCATGATCGGAACTATTTCAAATATCACACAATCAGTAATGTTAGGTATCATGAAAAATCTTTCATAAAAATAATCATGAAAGTTTTGTGACCCGTGAATTACACTTAGAATAAAGCACCACACACTAATCAAGGTAATCCAATGATTATAATTCTTTCATGATCATTTTCATGATCCCTAACTTTTCTCTTACACAATACCATTAATTCTATTGATCGTAGTAGATTTCTGGGGAAATTACAAAACAAACCCCAATGTTTCGCGTATTTTTCAAATTAAACCCCATATTTTCAATTTTGACAAATTATATCCTAGAGTTTCTTCCGTGTTTCAATGTGAATCCTCCGTCTATATCCGTTTGATTGAACTAATGAAATCTGGGTAAAATTCTCAGATTCAAGCACACATGTTCAAACACTTGTATCTCCCTCGTCGTAACTCCGTTTCGACCTATTTTTGTGTCATTGGATTCACCTCATTGCCTAGTTTTCATTCCATTCCTCATACGTCTTGTTCCACCTCTTTTTGTGTGCTGTTGGAACTCTGAAAGTTGGAAAAAAATAAGATTTTTCTCTCTTAGGAAAATTTTTGGATTTAAACACACATATTCAAGTACTTGTATCTCTTTCGTCGTAACTCCGTTTTACCTCATTTTTGTGTCTTTGGATTCACCCCATGGCCTAATTTTCGTTCCACCTCTCATAAGCCTTGTTCCACCTCTTTTTGCATATTGTCAGAGCTTTGAAAATTGGTCAAAACTAAAATTTTCTTTTTCTTTCTTTTTTCGTCTAGTTTATATCTCCATACTTCTTCATTCATCCTTCATTTCCACAATTATTCTCTCTTTCCCCCCTCTTTCTTCATGGCCCTTCCCCTACTCTTATGTTTCTTTCCATTCTTGTAAGTCATATACATTCATACTCGACGACACTACCATCGTCGGAGGTTCAGTGGCCACCATGAGCTTGGTGGAAGGGCCATGAAGGAAAAGGAAAAGGAAAAAAGAGAATAATTGTGGAAAGAAAGTAGGAAGGAAGAGGCATGAAGATAGAAAATAGAGGAGGGGAAGGGAAAAAAAAAAAAAAAAAAGAAAAATTTTATTTTTTGCCAACTTTTGGAGCTTTGACAACATACAAAAAGAGGTGGAATAAGGCACATAAGGGCTGAAATGAAAATTAGGCCATGAGGTGAATCTAACGAAGCAAAAATGAGGCAAAACGGAGTTACGATGAGGGAGATACAAGTTTGAATATGAAAAATTTGCCCAAAGAAAGAAAAATCTTATTTTTGGCCAACTTTCGAAGCTCCAACAGTATGCAAAAGAGGTGGAACAAGCTTGTGAGGGGTGGAACGAAAACAAGGTCATGAGGTGAATCCACAGACGCAAAAATGAAGCAAAACGAAGTTACGACGAAGGAGATACAAGTGCTTGAATATGTGTGTTTAAATCTGAAAATTTTCCTAAGAAAGAAAAATCTTTTTTTTCCCCAAGTTTTAGAGTTCCAACGGCACACAAAAAGAGTGGAATAAAGCGTATGAGCAATTGAATGAAAACTAGACAATGAGGTGAATCCAATGACGCAAAAATGAGACGAAACAGAGTTACGACAAGGGAGTTACAAGTGTTTGAACATGTGTGTTTGAATCTGAGAATTTTGCCCAGATTCCGTTAATTCTATCAAACGAATATACGGAGGGTTCACATTGAAACACAGAATAAACTCTAGGGTTTAATTTGTCAAAAATTAAAATTATGGGGTTTAATTTGAAAAACACGCGAAACCCTGAGATTTTTTTTTTATAATTTCCCCTAGATTTTTTTATTTATATAGATCATATCAATCAATAAAATTATACACTAAAATCCTAATTGTATAGAATAATTGAGATAAGAATTAAGAAATCATAGAAATAAATCTATAGTTTATTTTTTGGTTGCTATATTTACCTTGGCTCTTTTAAACAAATTTTTTACTCTCATTTATAAATAAAATCTAAATCATTTATTTATTTGTGTGGGCTACATAGTGTTTGCAGGCAACACTGTATAGTCACAACCTTCCCATCTTGTGGCCATACAGCCAATATTGCATCTCTTCAATCTTACCATTTCTCTCTCTCTCTCTCTCTCTCTCTCTCTCTCTCTCTGTGCTTATGGAAACAAACACCACTGTTGCCCCTCCAAAGCCAGAAAACCATACCCATAACCACCACCATTCACAGTCTCAACCCCACCATCTCCATCACCACAATACCCTCTCTTCCACCACCATTCTCATAATCATCTTTCCCATCATCACAATTGCCGTACTCCTCACCATCCTCCTCATTACAGTAATGCTTTGTCGTCGAAAATCTGCGAAAAATGACAACAGTAGCTGCACCAAACCCACCATTAATGGCATCAACAGGAATTGCATGTTTATTGGTCAGAGCGCCATAAGCATCAATTCTAGCCCAGGTAACATTGATCTCTTTCACATATATTTTAATTGGAGTTGACCATGTTCACATGTATTTTATGAATGTGGATATGTCATTTATTCATGGGTTTAAATATCAATACATGTTGTATAGTTTTTGGCTTTCTGATATCAACATTGTTTGGTATAGTAATGAGAATGAAAATTTACTTGTAAAGCACCAATAATTTGACTCATTTATCAATTTAATCCTTGTAGTTTTAATTGTTATCAATTTTGTCCTCTAGTTTAATTAATAACATTCGTTAAGAAAGTGGACAAAACTAGAGCGCAAAATAGTTCATTTAATAGGTAATTGACCATTTCGACTTTGATGTTAACTCCTCAATTGCTTTTTGCCCCTTGATTTGAGTCCAATTTTTAAAAGATCGTTATCAATTGAACTAAATTGTCACAATATGAATTGACATAACAGACAAACTACCAAGACTACAAGTGTAATTTGCCCAAACTCGTCTTTTGCAGCTAGTGATTTTAAAAACTTTATGACCACATGATCTGATTCTTGATATTTATCGCTTGATATTTTCTCTATTATTACACTGTAATTGATACTGATTCGTTAACAGATGTGAAGGGAGGGTGTCTTTATGGAGGGAATTCAGGCAGAAATCCAACATCTGCTAAGCATAGAGGAGTCCAAGTTTACACCTACAAGGAGCTTGAATTGGCCACAGACCAATTTAGTGAAACAAATGTGATAGGGAATGAGGGGTTTGGAGTGGTTTACAAAGGGGTCCTATGTGATGGTACTGTGGCTGCTATCAAGAAACTACACAGGGAAGGCAAGCAAGGCGAACGCGCATTTCGGATTGAGGTTAGTGAATTTAATTATTGGTACTTCTGAATTACCAACCTAACACATTAATATCATGCTCTCAAATTAATAAAAATATTAGTCATGGAGGGAGAGAGATCGACTTCACACTCCTATATCGGTTGAAAAAGAGACAAGATTGACTCTATCTGACTTATTTTGTGCAGCTTTATTGATCGGAAATGTCCTGTCCACGTCTTACCATTTTTTTTTAAACTCCTATTTTCTCTTCTTTAAATTGTTGCTTTATTTTATTTATTTTATTTTTTTAAAGTTTTGCTAACAAGTGTTATGGGATACAAGAAAAATGACAAATAAAAAAGAAAATTAAGTTCAAAACATTTTTCATTAATTTTAATTTTTTTATTTACTATTTTCAAAACACTTTATACATAATTTTCAATATTTAACAATATCCTAAGAGCGTTTGTTATAAGAGCATTTGTTAGTATTTATTTCTTTTAACTTTACTATTTTATTACATACAAAAAAGATGTATTCATATGGAGATATTCTCCAATCTTTTTTATATCTCCAATTTCCTCAAAAAGTTGATTAAAGTTTTATTTGGGAATATGCTAAATTAGTTAAAAAGTTAAAAAAATAATTTATTCTTTGTATTCTTTTTAATGTCTTTTCATAAAAAATTAAAAAAAAAATTACTAAAAAATTAGTTCTCAAACTAATCTTAAGCAACCATACCAAACACAATGATAGGTTTAGTTAGGACTTTGTAAGATTATTCTAAAGAGAGAGAAAGGTTCCTTTGCGAATGATTGAAAGAACTCTAACCACATTGTTTTTTTTTTTTTTTTATCGGTAAAAATTAATTATTAGTTATTAGCTTAACACTTATAAGAGTTATTCTTTCTATTCTTACACCAAGTACTTACATTCTAATTCAACTCTTCTTAGGGAGAGTTGAACCTATTTTAACAATTGAAAGAAGCTACATATCGTCTTTTATTTTTTTACTTTAATCTAAGTAAGATATTAATTGTTTTTATTAATTTTTAATAATATTTTGAAATAAAATCGAATCTTAAATATTAAAAAAGTAGTAACATATATTTCTTTTTTTAACAATTAATGGTGTGACCCCCTTTCTTGGTTTATCTATCCACATGCCCTCTTTTCTTCTTCTTCCAACCCTATCTAACAATTAAAGATAGTTAGATATCTCTCCCACACATATATCCATCTATCTTTTGTCTTTTATATTATATGAAGTAAAAGCTAAAATTGGTATAGAGAAACAACTTTTTAATTTTCTCAAAATAATCTTAAAATATTATGACTGCTTAGATCTAGATTTATAAACTGGTTTAATTTTTTTTTATTAAATTTTCAATTGAAATCCATTTTAATTTTTAAATTCAGATAAAAGTTTTCACAATTTTATTGCTATGGATACAAATGGACTAGCCTTCTGTCTGGTTTCTTCTTACCTCACTTATGAATAAAAAACTGTCGAAGGAATGTTGACTTTAATATCTATCTCTATCTCTATCTCTCCCATCTGTTTCTTAATCACTTCCGCATTTCATGCTCCTCCATCAATGAACATATTCATCCCTCCACATGGCTCTCTTCCACAAAATCACATTATATTACTATTAGGTAATTCCAAAATATAATTTATATGAGGCTTTCAACAAATACATAATCACAAAATATATCACGTGTAGTAAATTATTATTTTTTCTCCTAATTATTTAATAATAATAGATCAGTCATTGATTGAAAATACTACCTAAAAAATAACAACTTTATAAAATTGATCACAGAATCATAGTCTTGATGTGGTAGTAATCTAATGATTAATCAATTATAAATATAATGTCACGTTATATTGAGAGACACGTTATATTGAGAGACTACTAAATAATTATTTATTTATGTATTTTTTTGGTCAGGTGGACTTGCTAAGCCGCTTACACTCTCCCTACTTGACGGACTTGCTAGGCTACTGTGCAGACCAACACCACCGCCTCTTGATATTTGAATTCATGCCCAACGGCACACTCTATCACCACCTCCATCCTCCTCGCAACCAATCCTGGTCGTTGAATTGGGGGACCCGGCTGCGCATAGCCCTCGATTGTGCCCGGGCCCTTGAGGTCCTCCATGAGCATTCTGTGCCGTCGATCATCCACCGTGATTTCAAGTCCAGCAATGTACTCTTGGATCAGAATTTCCGGGCCAAAGTTTCCGATTTTGGGTTGGCTAAAACAGGGTCGGATAAGATCAACGGTCTGATTTCAACGCGCGTGCTGGGAACCACTGGATATCTAGCCCCCGAGTGAGTGTTCATTATTTGTCATGTATGTTAGTGTACCTAATAAGTAATGCATTTTCACTCAATCAATGCATATAGGTCTAAGGTCCCCCCCGCTAGGCCTCGAGGGAAAATGGGAATTATGAAAATGACCATTCTTTCTCACTCTCAGTCGCCATGGACCATCTGCACGGAAATTTGTTACTTATTGATAATTTCCAAACAGCCCCTTAATTGTAGATTCAATTATGTTAAAAATCCTTGAACTTTGTATCTTTTTTTTTTTATTGAGCCCCTAAAACTATTTTCCGTTCAAATAAGCCCTTCAACTCTTGAAATTGGTTCAATTTAGCCCTTTTGGTACATTTTGTCCACTTTTGGCAATTATCATATACGACTGGTAAATTGATTAAATTATCTGTAATACCCATTTTTTTAGCATCTAAAAAATTAATAATAGTAATAAAAGAATTCATTATCAACCTCCAAAACCTGTGCTAGTGAAGGAATCGGTGTTGATTCGTGTTTTTCTTTGTGTGTGTATTTTTTTTATATCGGGAAAATGAAATTAGGGTTTTTCTTTTAAAAAAAATATTTTTCTATTAATAACCAAGATTTACTCTAATTATTTATACCATTACATAATGTGCACACTCATTTGGTGTGAACACAAGTTCTGACTTTTTTCAAAATTGTCTTCCAAAACAAGCTTAATTTCCAAATTGTTGTAACCATCATTTATTTTTGGACATATATTGCATGTGAGCATAACTACTAGTAAAGCATAAAAATTTAGAATTAAGAAGTGGCATTAGGTAACCATAAAGTATAACACTTTGTGAACTGACTTACTAATTTTGTTTTTTTGTTTCTTTATTTTTAATATGTAGATATGCTTCAACAGGGAAACTTACTACAAAATCAGATGTATACAGTTATGGTGTGGTTCTTCTAGAGCTCTTGACCGGCCGTGTTCCGGTCGACACCAACCGGCCCCTTGGAGAACATGTCCTTGTCTCTTGGGTTAGTAACAAAATTCTATCTCCTCAAATTGACACTCCTTAGATTTAACTGTATTTTGAAATAAAATTAATATTTATATTTGCAGTTTTCTCTATTTACGTTTCTAAAAAATTTTGAAATTGTAAACAAAAACTCGATTAGTATATATTTTTACTCGATTAGTATATATTTTTGTTTACAAATTTTACTAATCCCACCCCCTTCAACATCACTAACAATGTACTTCAATTGCTGTCAACCACCTTCAATCACTTATTTATTTCCAGTCGTTGACAACTATCTGCAGTCACCCCTTTTATCTTATTTTCTAAATATATTTTTGAAATACACATGTATATTAAAAATGTTTATATTTTTATTTTTATTAAAAATAAACATAAATAGAAATATATTTTAATTTTTTACAAATACAAAAAAAAAAAATGTATAAACATTACCAAACTAACTCTAATTTGCTGTTTCTTGTGTTAATATTTAGGCTCTTCCAAGGCTAACTAACAGAGAAAAAGTGATGGAAATGGTCGACCCATCTCTTAAAGGCCAATACTCCAAAAAAGATCTAATCCAGGTCAGTTTGGCTATCCTATCATCATTGAAGCTAATTTTTATTATTATTATTATTATTATTATTATTATTATTATTATTATTATTATTATTATTATTATTATTATTATTATTATTATTATTATTATTATTATTATTATTATTATTATTATTATTATTATTATTATTATTATTATTATTATTATTATTATTATTATTATTATTATTATTATTATTATTATTATTATTATTATTATTATTATTATTATTATTATTATTATTATTATTATTATTATTATTATTATTATTATTATTATTATTATTATTATTATTATTATTATTATTATTATTATTATTATTATTATTATTATTATTATTATTATTATTATTATTATTATTATTATTATTATTATTATTATTATTATTATTATTATTATTATTATTATTATTATTATTATTATTATTATTATTATTATTATTATTATTATTATTATTATTATTATTATTATTATTATTATTATTATTATTATTATTATTATTATTATTATTATTATTATTA